GTGTGTGTATTGTAGAGAGTAATTAATGAGTCACTATGGGGACGACAGTGTGCTGTGTTGGTGACAGGGCTGTTCTACAACACTGGCGCGCAAACCGATCTTTTATGTATAAGCTCGGACAAAATTATGATAAGTTTTTCACACTGGTTTTGTTTTAAAGTAAGCTAAATATTTTATGATAGCAACCCTTTGCATTGGGAATAGCGAATAGTCATTAGGTAAATCTGTCCTACAGAAGATTCAGAAACTGTTACTGTACCTTATCCTTCCCCTTATTTCCGTTCCACTTTATTAAAACCAGTGCATCTACTTCTCACGTCGTATCCTAGTTGTATTTCCTTGAATAAATCCACAGCTGCAATGTGAGCGGAATCCAAAGGTGATGGTAGTCCAACTCGTTTTACTTATTCAGTAGTCTACCGTTTTGACAAATGTAACACAAGCGGGCGGTGTGCAAAGCGATTTGGATTTGGCTGTAGAAAGCCTAGATTTTGATCTCATCAGTTATTTAGACGATTGCACTCGTGATATTTTCGTCTTCTGTTAGATTAAAAAGATCAATACCGGTCCGTATCTGAGATTAGTAGAATATAATATAGAACGATCTTTTTGTTTGCGATTACGCTCTCTATATATGTGTACCTGATGAGATAAAAGAGAGAATGCTGTGTGTGTATATGTGGGGGTGTGTACGTGTGTGTGTGTGTGTGTGTGTGTGTGTGTGTGTGTGTGTGTGTGTGTGTGTGTGTGTGTGTGTGTGAGAGAGAGAGAGAGAGTGGTAAAAGAGAGAGGGGGGATGAGGGGGAGAAGAGAGGGGGTGAGAGAGATAGAAAGAAAGAGAGAGGGGGGAGAGAGAGGGAGAAAGAGAGAGAGAGGGAGGGGGAGCGAGAGAGAGAGAGAGAGAGAGAGAGAGAGAGAGAGAGAGAGAGAGAGAGAGAGAGAGAGAGAGAGTTCACACCAACGAACAAACTATTTGGATACACTTATTTGAGCGAGTTGTGCCTGTTGTGTGCGTATCATTGATCAAGAACGCAATAAGTGCATTTCTGTGCTAATGAACAATTTTTGTATGTTGATGTTCTGTTACAAAAAAATCCCTTGTGGATCCATAAAGTTTGTCTGTCTTGTCACGTGTCTTATCTTGTCTTATCTTGTCTTATCTTGTCTTATCTATTGACTTATCTTATCTTATCTTATCTTATCTTATCTTATCTTATCTTATCTTATCTTGTCTTGTCTTGTCTTGTCTTGTCTTACCTTGCCTTATATCTAAATCTCTACCTACTTTGTGACGATGGCTTTCATAGACCCTAGCTAAATAAAAATATATATTTCGGAAATTTTCGGGTATATTGAGAGCTGAGGAGAAAGCGATAGTCTGCACTATTTCGTTATTGTGTGCCTTCGTGTGTTGACAGCATATTATCTTTGTTGCTGCGACTGTCCTCTTTCGATTCGGGGAATGGCTTCACTTTCAGAAGTCTGCTTTAAAAAAAATTGTTTCCAGATTATTCCGTGCTTCTCTGACAAACGCTGCTTGGAACCGTCTATACTTTTTTTTTCTCCCATTGTTCTCCAGTTCGCCATAGAGAGGTGTTTTAGTGCTTAGAATCATCTCTGAAAAGCTAATACTTGTCATGTATTGTACTATTATTTCAAATAGGCATTTGTATGTATGGTTAACAGCACTCCTTAAAAAATCCCAATGTCACCCTACCACAATATGCTGAAGGCCCGGGAAGTTGTCTTACTAACAAGGCAATCCCCAATGTCAGGATCGGATGCGGGAACAACTTTTACTTGACCACAGAATGTATGTTTATTGTTTCAATTCTGTCTGTGACAAGCCTCACCCTAGAATGCCTCAGTCAGATGGTAATGTAGGGTCTTTTACAGTACGGTATAAAGTAGGTACACGGAAGCCCCCGATTTGAACGTCGGTCTCCGACAGGACCGGGACCAGTGAACGGGGAGCTTTGAAAGAAAACTCTCACAACACTGCAGGTTCAAGAACGCCGTTTGATTACCCGCTTCGTAATACTTCGGCTTGATACCAACTGAACTATTGGTGCCCCTTTCTCTGTCAGAGAACTGCGACAGTAACCAAACAAAGGGAAATTTTGTCGTTCATGGATGGAATGGCTACCAATGCTGGTGCCGGGTATGAAAGTAAAAGAAAATCCCCAAACAATGTATATATTATTACATGTAGCCTACAGTACATATATTGTGCAGCCAGTGTGGAAATGTATTTTACTAAGACAGTCGTTCATTTCATTTCCAGCGATCATAATATTATTAGATATATGGTTAGGAATGGGCTGTAAGGGTTGAGGGTGAAACCCCAGACGCTCTCTGGTAAGCCAGCCTCCGCTAAGTCAACTCCCCGTCCTTGTCGAGCAGCCTGGGGACCCCTGTTCTGTGCATAGGAGCAGGGGTTACAGACGAAGCTCCGGCCAGGAGGTACTATAGCCCTGAGAGGTGCGATGTTAGCAACGACCCTTCGGCTCGTAGAAGCAGGGTCCGTGCACATCCACCATTATGGTAGGTCTGGCGTCATAGCAGGCCAACCTGTTCTTTCAGGAACTCACTGTCGACATCTTCTTCCCTCCCTCTCGTGGGAGCTCTACAGACGGGGCATGGTACCCACAGACTGCCAGATGACTCATCGTGAGATGTCTCTGCGGACCTAGAAGCCCTTGTAGCTGTAAGGAATAGGCTGCCTGGAAACAGGTGACGTCCCTACAGATATCCTTGCAAATGCTCGCTGATCCATGATGTGGCGATCCTCTGCATGAGTAGATTTGGCCATCACTTGGATTATTCTGCTCCATGAACGGAAATGTTAATAGCAGATAGCCAGGAGACAGCAGGTGACGGGGATTGGACAAATACAAGCTACGCTTGGTGATGTAGACGACTCGCTGTGGAAGGAACGCGTTATCCCTTACTCAATGGGACCCCTTACTGGACTGCTCAGACGATCACTGGCCATTGGTTGTACTTTGTGGCTCCCATCTCTCTGAACTAGATTGTGCCCACACCCCCTATAATTTTCTACTATATAAGAAATCCCCGTGAAGGTTGATGGAAAAAACCCAGGACAACGAACATTGCACCTTTGTTCTCTTGTGATAAGATGTTTGGGCACAAGCCAGTGTCAGGATAAGACTATCACCTACCTGAGATCCTACAGGGATGCCTGCAAGCCTTTACAACCCCCAAAGCAATAAAATGCCTCTACGACAAATGAAACTATACGAGCTCGGATGTCGCCTCGGTTATCAAGGTCCGCTTTCTCTGCCTTCACCCGGGGGCGAGAGTGACAAGTCAGCAACTGAGACCCACACTGCAGGTATAGGGGCCACAAGCAACACACAGACACCACATACTCCCCAACCTACAGACACACAGACATTGAATGTACTCCAACTGAGCATCTCATCACTACAGAAAAAGAAAATGGAGCTTGCGAAGATGCTGTCAGACTTAAGAATTCATGTAGCCCTGCTACGGGAAACCCAACTACTCAAGCGGATAGAGTTCCATTTGACAGGCTTCACAATGTACCACTACAAGTGCACCAAATGTCAAGGCATCGCAACCCTCATTCGGAATGGCATCACCGCTGAGGTTTCTCACCCAGAAACCGATGACGAGACTGACATAAAGGAAGTGAAAGTGCAGCAGTCGGATGGAACAACCTACACCATCTGCAATGTATACTGCTCACCAAGAACTACTCTCCAGCTCAACTTCCCGAATACAGACCACAAACATACCATTCTTGCAGGAGATTTCAATGGACACTCTCCACTATGGGGTTACAGTGATACAGACACGACAGGGACAGTTTTAGAAGAACTACTGAGATCAAGCAACCTCATTTCACTTCAGAATGACAAGACACCACCCACCCTACTTCATGAAGCCAGCGGAACTCTCAGCAGACCAGACTAGACCTTGGTCTCTGCCGACCTTCACCCGCACTGCTCCATGACTGTCCTCGGTGACATTGGAAGTGACCACCGCCCAATCCTACTGCAGATATCCAGCAACAGGAAACGAGAACCGACCAACTCCATAAGACGCTGTTGGGACTACAAGAAAGTGAACTGGGAGCTCTACCAACAGAAATCAGAAAGTAGACTCCTGGAAGGATGCACGACCAACCAAATTGATGAGTGCTACAAGGACATCGCCACAGCACTAAAGACATCTGCAAAGGAAGTGATTCCAAGAGGGAACCCAAAGAAGTTCCGCCCTTATTGGGACAAAGAACTGGAATAACTGACCAAGGCCAGAAAGAAAGTCAGACGGCGTGCTGAGAAGAACCCAACTGACGAAAACAGAAACCACTACT